TATAGAACATAAAATCCAATAACTGCAGAAAACATATTTCCAAGCGCACATAGAACATTCAACAAGAATACAAAATATTGGGAACCAGCAGTAAGCGTAATGGCTATGTCGCTGGACTCCCACGTAGTTGACCGTGGTTCGCGTTCCTGAATCGGTGGCTTAAAACTCAACGCCGGGCGCGTGTGCGTGCGTGCGTGCCCAAGATCCCAAGAGGAGAATGGAGGAGAAGGGATTGCGGCGTGGCCATCCCCTCTGGGGGGTGATTTCTCGCTTTCTGTCTCTATGTCTCTCTCTGTCTGTCTGGCGAGCGCACGCGCCCTATAGCGAAAACCTCTCAAAAATAAAAAAAAAAAAAGAATACAAAATGTTCTCTGACCTTAATACAACTAAATCATGTATCAATAACAAAAAGCTATCTAGAAAATCTCAAATATTTAGAAATTAAAACAATACAGTTCTAAGTAACTGATAGATTAAAAAACACATCACAACATAAAATATTTCACACTGAATAAAATAAAAATGCAACATATCAAATTTCAGCAATGTAAAAGAGCAAAATAAACCTTAAAAAAAGGAAGCAAATAGTAACTGTAAGAGCAAAACATTGATTGGAAAAAAAATTTTTTAAATCCTAAGCCAAAATTTGTTTCTTTAATAAAACTGATAAGCACCAAGAACGATTAAGAAACTTAGAAAAAAACACCAATTATTGATATGAGAAATGAAAGAGCACACATTCCTATAGATACTATAGAAATAAATGGGATAATAAGAAAATGATATAATCTATTTTATGTCAATGAACTGGACAACATAAATATAAAATACATTTCTTAAAGACACAAGATGAGAAAACTAAAACAGAAGTAAAAAAACTGAAACCTAAATAACTCTTTATTAAGGAAGTTGAATTTGTAATAATTTCTTGCTAATTTGGTTTTTTGCTTTCTATGTTTTCAGAATGAAAATACCAGCCTGGGTAGTTTTACTAGTTTTAACAGCTGATTGTAAAATTTATATGAAAACACAAAATACATAGCCTATTCAAAAAAAAAATCTTGACAAAAGAATCTAGGTTGTAAGACCTTACACCATCTGGGTTTAAGACAATGCGGTTACAGTAATTAGATCAATGTGATAGTGCCACAGGATTGGCTAATGCATCAATGAGACAAAATAGGAAATCCATAAGCACACTACAAATACATAGCACACCGAAACTTATTTTGAGATAGATCACAGATGTGTTTTAGAAAAGATAAAATCATCAACTGGACAGGCTTCATAGTCTAGTAGTTGAGAAAGCCAGATCTCATATGGATGACCAGGCAGTTGAAGTCCTGACCCTGGCGGCTTGAAACACACACACACACACACACACACACACACACACACACACACTATAAAGTAACAGAAGGGTCCAGCAGGTGGCATTGAGGTTAAGACCCCACATGGACAGCTGCACAATTTGAGTCCTGGCCCCAACAGCTTGAAAATCACACTGGGTGCATGTGCGTGCATGCCTAAAATTCTGAAAGGAGACTAGAAGATAAGGAATTGAGGCGTGACCATCCCCTCTGAGGGGCGATTTCTCACTTTTTCTCTCTCTCTGGCGAGTGCATACATTCCATAGCAAAATCTAAAACAGACAAAAACAAAAAAGTAGTAAGAAAGTCATAGTGTGACAAAATATTTGTAAAACATTTCTGATAAATGATTACCACTTGAGGAGATAAATCACCCAATTAAAAAATAGGCAAGGTTCACCAGATGGAAAAGTAGTTACATCACTGGACTCTCATATGGCCCATTGTGATTCGAGTCTCAGACCCGGTGGCTTGAAACACACTGGGCACATGTGTATGTGTACCCAAAATCCTGAGAGGAGAATGGAGGAGAAGGGATTGCAGCATGGCCATCCCTACCCGTTTGATGATTTCTCACTTTTCTTCTCACTGTCTCTCTCTGGAGAGTGCACACACCCCAAGGGAAAAACCTCTACCAAAATAATAATAATAATAATAATAATAATAATAAATAGGCAAAATATCTGAACAAACAGTAAAAAAGAAGATATATAAATACTAACAGGAATATGAAAACATGTTCAACACAATAATCAGAAAAGCAAACTGGGGACCAGCAGTTAGCGTAATGGCTATGTCGCTGGACTCCCACGTAGTCGACTGTGGTTCAAGTCCCAGACACGGTGGCTTAAACTCACACCTGGCGCGTGTGCATGCATGCCCAAGATCCCGAGAGGAGAATGGAGGAGAAGGGATTGCAGCGTGGCCATCCCCTCTGGGGGGTGATTTCTCGCTTTCTATTTCTATCTCTCTGTCTCTCTCTGTCTGTCTGGCGAGCGCACGCACCCTATAGCAAAAACCTCTCAAAAAAAAAAAGAAAAAAAAAAAGAAAAGAAAAAGCAAACTAAAACTTAACCACTACCAGAAGAAGACTTATTCTTGCCAATATTTGGCAAGAATATGGAGCAAATAGAACGTTGATACATTGATGATGAAAATATAATATGGCTCAATCACTTGGAAAAAACATCTGGTAGTTTCTTTTAAAACTAAACTCACATCTACCCTACTGCCCAGCAGTTTGGTCCCTAAGTATTCATATAAGAGAAACGAAAACATATCCTCACAAAAAAGACTTGCATGCAAATTTTCATAGCAGCTTATTTATAGCAGTTAAAAACTAGAAACAGCCTAGGTATTCATCAATAGAAAATAAATAAGTTACTAGGATGAAATTCTGCTCAGCAGTAAAAAAGAACTATTTCTACATACAACAACATGGATAGATCTCAAAAAACATTAGGCTTCAAGGATCCTCATACAAAAAAGTTTATATGGCATAATTTCATATATATGAATATCTGGAACACATAAAGCTAAACTATCTGAAGAAAAAAGTAATGAATAATGGTTGCCTCTGGGGGTGGGGGGGTTAGACAGAGGCAGCTATTGACCACAAAGGACTATGAGGGCTTTTTGGACTGTGAGGACTTTATGGACTGTTTATGTTCTCCTCCCAGAAACTTGTATGTTGAAATTCTAAAAATGGTATTATAAGGTGGGGCCTTTGCAAGGTAATTAGGTCATGAGGGTGGAGCCTTTATGAATGAGATGATGCCCCATAAAAGGGATTCTAGAGAACTCTTTCTAAATCTCTCCGTCACATGAAGATACAGTGAGAAGATGGTAGGTAGTCTGCAACTCAGAAGAGGTCTCTCACCAGAGCTCAGCTATCTTGGCACCCTGACCTCAGACTTTTAGCCTCCTGGAACTGTGAAAATAAACTTCTGTTTACTAAGACAAAGATGACGAGAATATGGGATGTAATCGTAATGCTTTATATCTCAATAGGATTTTGCAATGTATTTATTTGTCAAGACTGGGGAAAATATGGTTAAGATTGTGTATAATCTTTCATGTAATCTTACCTGGAAAAATGTAAATAATTAATCAAACTGTAAATAATGTTATACATGCTGAAGTTTTAAGGAGACAGTGTGTTACTGTCTGTGATATATCTTGAAATACATAAAAATAGGATACATTCATCAATGTGTAGAAAGATATACAAACATGTATGAAGAAAGTACAGTAATGCGTTAATGGTAAAATATTGCTAGTGGGTAGAAAAGCACTTATCACCATAAAATTCTTATCACCATAAAATTATTTTAATATTGCTCTATGTTGGATAATAGAGAGAGAGAGAGAGTGTGTGTGTGTGTGTGTGTGTGTGTGTGGTTTTAGATAGGGTCTCACTTTAACAGAATCCTCCTGCCTCAGTCTCTCAAGTAGCTGGGACAATTGTGTGTAGCTTTATAGTGTGTGCCCGAATTGAATCCTGACCTCTCATGTGGCCTCCACATGCTAAGCAGCAGTGTCTAGTGTATGCCACTGCAGCTGGGCCTATGTTGTATACTTTTTAAAGATGTTGGAAAAACAAATAGTAAAAGTTTCTTAAAAGTACACTTAGCCTTTTTTTTCTTTTAATTTGTCACAGTCTGTGCATTCATCAGAGACAGATGGAGAAAGAGAAAGAGAGAAGGAGAAAGCACCCCACATGGGGCATGGTCATGCTACACTCTTCTCTGTTTCCCCATCCTGTCAGGATATGGGGCATGTGTGCACATATGCCTGACATGTTCTTCGAGCTGCCAGGGCTGGGATTCAAACTGTGCAGTTGGTTATGTGGGATCTGGCTGTCATAACCACTAAGTGATGAGGCTAGCCTACTATATTTGATTTTTCTAGAAGAAAATTTCAACAAAATGTAGTTTGATTATGAGACTGTAAAATATCTTCTGCTCACGAAACAATTGGTGTTTGATATAGTCTACTAAGTGTGTCCTAACTCTGAAAAAGAGTATGATCTATAAATCCGTGGCTTTTGACTAAGAAAGAGCAGATTTTCCTGTTCTGAGTTGATTTTCATTGTTAGGATTTGTTTTCAAGGTGAAAATCACAGATATCCAATGATTACAATATAATTTATGTATGTCCTAAGAAAGTCTCCAGCAGAACTCAAAAATATTACAGATGGTCCCCAACTTAGAATGGTTTGATTTACAATTTTTTGACTTTACAATGAGTTTGTCAGGATAGTAAATGCATTTTAAACTTACCATGGTTTTGACTTAAAAATGGGTTTATTGCGATGTAATCTATCATAAATTGAGGAGCACCTATATATGGTTTCGATGTACATACATCCTTTCTAGGACTTCTATGCTTGTTTAACTGAAATTCAGTTTTAAAAATAGCTTCTGATAATTTGTACTGACATATAAACTTTATGCAGGGAAAATAAAACATGAGACCTTTTTGGTATTATAGAGCACTTTCGTGCTTTGATTTGAAAATGCTAATTTAAACTAGTATGTGCCTGAATGTGTGTATGTTTACATGTATTTATATACTCTTTTATATACGCAGAGCTCTCAAGCATGAATGCTCTACCAAGTTATACATTACCTCCAGTATAGGGTTTCCAGTTATAATACTTTCCTCGGAAAGGCATATTGTCAAAGTCTGCACATTGTTTCTCTCGAAAATCTCGGGAACCTAAAGGGCATGGCTAAAATAAAATAAAATCATAAATGGTACGATTGTTGGAGAATATTCCATCATATTAGCTCGCTACCTTACTCTTTGGCTATAGTTCTGGCACTTGCTTTACCATTTTATAATCAATATTCAGACTGAAGTGTCTGAATTACCGTCTTGGTTATAGATGAAATAACTGAAGTAACTGAAAACCGAGTGTCAGTTAGTTTGTATATTAACTTTACACTTGGACACATGTCATAGCCCACTTTGTAATCAAGCCATTAGGTATCGCCTTATAGACACACATAAAAAGCGAGGTGAAGAAACTAAAACACAAAGTCCTTTCTGGTAACAGTATTTGAGGTCCAGTTGCCATAGTTATTCCCAGATCTTTATTTTAAGGAATTAAAAAAGGCACATTTGTAACATGAAATTCAGCACTATTAATTGTGGTTTGGAACCCTACTACTATAACTGTTTACTGTCTAGCCCTGACAAAAACCATATTTTAAATTGGAATGAACTGGGCAAAAATGCTGAGTTTGAAGTCTAACACCTCCAGATTTAAGGAATTTGGATTTGTTAAGATGTATATTTAATCTATTAACATCACAAAACATATAATACTAAATTGATTTAAAACGTGTACATGTGTTTGAGAGGTGGGGAAGAATGGTGAGAAGGTGAAGAGAGGATAAATTGTTTTTAAAAGGTTGAAATTTATCATCTTTTTTTTTAAGAGAAAAATCTTGCTAATCTAGTTGGGTCTATATTCCAAATGCCACAGGGTCATCCTAAACTCATCTGTAAATTCACAAAGAATTAAATGTATTATATCTCATAATGTTTGAGCAATATGACTTAATTTGAATTATCTACTAAGAGTTCTATAGTGGCAGCAGTTAAACACCAAAGTTACTGAGTTAGAAACAATGAGAAAACTGTCCCCTTAAATATGGAAGTACACACTACGTCGTTAGATGCAATTCTTAGGTGAATAAATAAGAAGTATGTTATAGGCATTTTACTGCTCTGTCTTGGATGTTGACGATTGCTTTGTTCAGTTTTCTGAGGTCCCAGTACACTGTAAAGGGTCCCTTTGAAGCATGAGAGGTCATAATAGACCACAATGTGCAAATATTTGCATGGTCATCATTACTTCTATGCACTGTAATTCAAATTTTTACCATATCAAATCCAAAACCTCAGATTCTAAGAATAGTGAAAGCAAGTCTACACTGTTATCAGTCTTGCATTTTAAAATATTTTCAGCACATTAAAATATAATAATTCAATGCCAAGCCTTATGATTCTTCTTGTCAAATTACCCTTTTGCCTGTGTTCTTAAAAAAGAAATAAACTATTTATCATAGGCTACATAGTCTATCAAGCTAGAAAGACATGCTTCCAAGGTCTTTAGTTTTACATGCTGCTAATCTTTGTATCTTTGGAATGCTTTCTTCTTCTAGCTCTTTGCAGGGCATCCCACATAAGGACTAAAGTTGTCAGTGGCTCTGCCACACAGCAAGATTACTTTTCAAACAAAGTACCACCAAAAAAATACAAGCAATTTAAACTCTAGCTACAAAATTTCACATAATATTTAAAGTATGTGTAAGGCACCAATCACTTAAAAGTTCACCGAAGCATGGCCTTCAATCTAGTGAGAGAAACCAGAGCAAATGGAAAAAGTAGTTCAGGTAATATATACAGTGTATGAGAGCATGTTATAGGGTGTCTACAGGTGCTGTAGATAGGTGAAAGATCAGCATGTCACGTGACTAGTTAGGAAAATAGTGGTCGAGAAAGAAAATTTTGAGCACATTCTAAAGAATGAAAGGAATTGAGCTAGTAAAAAAGAAAAAGGACTTGGGAGGAGTGGAGGATTATTAAGAATGAAGCTAAGTAAAGCCACGGGGACAAGAAAGAAAAGGCCATATGTTCAGAATGATTGGGAAAAAAAGGCCATCCTAGCTGAAAGTGAAAAACTGTATAGAAGCATAAGAGGAAATGACATTTCAAATTAATCACTGGTACATTATAAAGACCAGAACTAACAACTAAGTCATCATGAGGGCAATTCATTTAAAAGCACACAAAACAAAAATGCTATTTTTTTTTAGTATTTTCTAGTGATTCTCCTAAATAGAAGTAAAGTGTACAATAGAAGGATAGTACTGTTTAATGAAGCACTCAGATAACATTTCGTAAAATTTCTAATCTACTCTTTTCCTATGATAACCACTCTCAAGGTCAGCATAATAAAATATGAACAATAATAACGGGAGTTAGTAGTTACTAAGTACCTACTCTGTGGTACACTAGTCACAGATCTTTCGATGTATTATCTTTTCAATTCCTCTTAATACTCTAGATAAGGTAGATATGATAAATCCCGTTTTGCAACAAAGTAAACTGGAGTACAGAAACGATGCTCAGTAATAGTTTCAGGATACAAGGGTATCTCTGTCACCCAAGTGGGAGCCTCCTCTGGACACTCTCTAAAGGCTACAACAATACCATTAGTTTTTTTGTTCTTCAAAAGAAAAAAATAGTTTTCTTTCCCTTTTTCAAAAGAATTATTTAATTTTATTTATTATTATTGTTACTTTTAAATTTTGCTGTAAGGTATGTGTACTCACCAGAGAGAGACAGACAGGAAGAGAAAAAAGAAAGCAAGCTGCCAGGTTCAGGATTAGAACTGCAGTTGGCCTTGTAGGAGTCCAGCACCCTAACCACCATGTGACCTGCTAGTTCCAACAGCATATATGGTTTTAATTCTGTTAAATGTAGAAAACCTATGCCAATTGCCATGTCATGCACCTGCAGTCCCAAGGGGTAGGAGCTTGAGGCAGGATAATCTTAAGTGAGCACAGCCTAGGCAATACAGTAAGACAGTCTTTTAAAAAAATTTATTTCTGGGGCCAGCAGGTGGCATAGTGCTTAAGGCACTGGACTCCCACATGGTTGGCCATGGTTTGAATTCCAAATCTGAAGGTGTAAAAATCATTCTGGACACATTTTGCATGCCCAAAATCCTTAGAGGAGAATGGAGGAAAAGGTATTGCTGTATGGTCATCCCCATGGAGGCGGGGGTGGGAGGTGATGTGTGATTTCTCACTTTCCCTCTTGTCTCTCTCTCTGGCAAGCACAGGTACCTTATGGCAAAAACCTAAAACAAATTAAAAAAAGAATAAATTTTTTTTTTTTTTAGAAAGCACAATAACCTAATAGGAATAATGAGTTCTAGACCTACTCAGCTGCAAGTTTCTTCTCTTTCCCAAGCTACTTTTTTCTCCTTTGTAAAATGAGAGAACTAAAAGTGAGAGTTTGGGAGTAAGTCAGATCTGAATTCAACTCTAACTAGGTCATTTGTTAATTCATGGTCTTGAGCAATTCACTTAATTGACCAAGCCTCATCAATAAACTGGAGATAATATGGGTATTTACTTCCTAGGTAAGGATTCATATGGATTGTTAAGCTCTTATACCTGGTATATCGTAGCACTTAACAATTCATAGCAGCTGTACTGGTCTTGGGTCTAGGCGTCCTTAGGATCATCCCTAACCCATCTGCTCTGCACTGTATTTTAGGGGAACAAACCTTGTGTGCTCTTTCCTAGGGCTGTGCATCAGTGACTTATGGTTGTGTTCAGGCAATGGAAAGCAGTACTTAGAGAAGTCAGGTCTTTTCCTCATTTCCTCTATGTCTCTGTAGCATCTCACACAGAAGAATGTTTTTTTCCCTATGATTCCAACTTCAGACAGAAGCTCCCTCTTCTCTGCTCTATCACCCTATGGTTTTGGCTTCTATTTAATGATTCTAGACTCTGGGCTTGGGTAAAACTACTTTCTTTCAATAGCTTCTTTGAAGCAATCGTGGCATTGTCCTCTGACACTGATCAATGAGCTTGTCGGCCTTTTCCATTACTCATGTAATCAGTTCCCTCTATTTAGATATTCAGTGTAGTTTATATTACTATTATTAGATCATTATTGACACAATAGTTAACAAAAATACAATACTAGTGATAATGAGGTACCCAGGAAATTGAATAGAGATAAGTTTCCATGTGTTATATTTTGTAGTTTGTTGTGTTCTGTTCTCCTGATTTCAATATTTCCATCAATAACTGTTCTGAATTTGTGTTGATTAGGAATAGGCTCAAAAGGAGTTATAAATACTGGGTCAAAAGAATGAGAGTCATTAAGGAAAATAACAATTCCTTAAGCAAAATTATACAAATACATTTTTGTTTTGTTTAGGAATAGTGATCAGTTTAAGGAGTAATGCTTTTTAAATTATTTAAGGATAATAAATGCTAATACTAGGTAGAAACTAAACAGAAAACAGTAAAAATAAGCAGATCTTTTATGTGAACTAGACAGATTTTCAGCCTCTTAGTGCTAACACTAATAAGCATCCTCTCCTTCTAAAAACCAGCCTCCAGGGTCCCCCATAAATCCAGTGAGCAGAGCTGGTCTCATCATCTTTAGGTCTTGTATTTTCAAAGAAATAAACATTGGTAATATTAGCATCTTTATCACCTCCCCCCACAGACCTGTGTAGACTAACACATTCATTCTATAAATTATCTTGTGTTTCCAATTATCCTGATAGTTTAAAAACATCTTTTTTTGTCTAAACTTAATACTTTTTATTAGGAAGTAATAATAGAGGCATGAAAGTTACTCTATTAAGAAATCTTAGCTTCTGCTCATAGCTTTGCAGTAACATTTCTATTACTGGGGTTCTAATTCTGGTTTTTGTCCCCAAGGATAGAATGACCTTGGCAAGCCACCAAATCCTATTGTGCCTTCTTTCACTTGCAAAGTACAAGTGCCCTTACCTTCCAAAGAAATATGCCTCACAATGTTCTGCAAATGAGAATAATTCTGAATATACTGTTGTATGTCTTATGGATAATAAAGACTGAGCAGCAGGCCGAAAATGAAACCGCCTTTCCCCCTTCCCTCTCCTCTGTCTAAGAAAGGCAGGCAGGCTAGAAAGATACCAGGATTTCTATG